ATCTTAGAAATTTGTGGTTTTTAATGTCTAAATTATGATTTTTTTATTTCTTCATTTAATTGTGGTCAGAGACTATAGTTTGCTTCTTTGTGATGTGTTGATTCTATTTATGGGGCTTAAAACATTGTCATTTCTTTAAAAATGTCCCCTATAGGGGCGCCTGAATGGCTCAGTGGGTTGAGCCTCTGCCTTCAGCTTAGGTCATGATCTCAGGGTCCTCGGATCAAGCCCCACATAGGGCTCTCTACTTAGCGGGGAGCCTGCTTTGCTCCCCCCCCACACTCTCTGCCTGCCTCTCTGCCTACTTGTGATCTCTCTCTGTCAAATAAATAAAATCTTTCAAAAAAAAAGTTCCCTATATATTTGCAAAGAATACACGTGTTCCAGTTTTTCTTTTTCACATATTTGCATACTGATACCCTACATACACTGAAACCTCAGCCCCCAGACCCAGTGTCACCAGAATTTAATGGGGAATAAAGAATATGTCATATTAGCTTTGACTCCTTGCCAAATGAGCTTCTTATAAACAGTTTGTCCAGGAAAAAATCTCCTCATTCAAAGATAACAATAAATATCTCCTGATGTACAAAGATACTACAGCAAAAGGAATGAGAGAAAAAAAAGAAGAAATTAAAAGGAACATGCTAGAAATAAAATGCCACAATATAGAAGAAAACACATTCACTATGATTTCAAGGAATTCACTAAAATAGTTAACTGCCTAAAATAAATAGGAATCTAAGAGTCCAAGGAAGAAATAATGGACAAACAGACTAAAGAAGATGGTTATATAAATTTTTAAAAAATAAACTGGCAGAACTCTGTAAAGAAAAAGCAACACAGCAATGGGAGGTCTCCCTAAAAGCACTAAAACACCATGTAAAAATACAAAAAGTAGCAAGGAACAGATAAGTGAACAACATGAAATGGAAATAAGGATTTTTAAAGGAAAACAAAAAAAACAGAGTTCAATAAAAAACATCTAACAAACAAAAGAATCCTTGAAGTGGAAGCATAAAACTTTAATCATTAGTCACAGTATAAATTTAACAGATATTGTCTAAAACAAGAGATTAAAAGATTCAGTTAAAAAAAAAAGAGGGAGGCAAAATAAGAGACTCTTAACTAAAGAGAACAAACTGAGGGTTGCTGGAGGGGAGGTGGGCAGGGGATGGGCTAAATGGGTGATGGGAATTAAGGAGGCACTTGTAACGAGCATTGGGTGCTATACGTAAGTGATGAATCACTAAATTCTGCCCCTGAAACTAATATTACACTATATGTTAACTAACTAGAATTTAAACAAAAACTTGAAATATTAAAAAAAAAAAGATTGGGTTCAAGATATTAATGTGACAAAAGATCACATTAAAAGAACCAACCACAAAGAAAAGAATCCAAACCTTCCAAATTACCAGAACGGACTGAGAACCAAAGCAAGAATACAGAGTATAAGGTGAAAGATATAGAAAAGAAGTATCTTTATCAGAAATGTATGTAAAATAACATCTTTCCAAACTGTTGTACAGAAAAAGTGCCCAAGGACTCTGAAGGATGACAGTAAAATGATAAGCAAAAGACCTATCTGGAAATGCCAACAGAAAGGAAACAAGAACCTCCATCTTAATATCAGATAGGGCTGAATTCTAGGAAAATAAATATTAAACATAACAAGACACAATCCAAAATTAATTTCAGATGTCATTATTATCACTACACCAAACTTCATAGCATTGAAGTTTATGAACAGAAACTACAGGCAAATATAGACAAATATATTTGTGGTGGGAAACTTAGTATCTCTCAGCTCCAACATATAAAGTAAAAACAAAACAAAACACACTGTAAAAACCTCATAACTATATAAGATAGATTATTGATAAGACAGCAAATTCTGTATCCTGAAACATTCTTGTGCCTATATAACATTTAGAAATATTAAACATAAAATTTGCACGCACTCACACTTTACACAAAACATTCCAAGAAGTAGAATAAAATCACCGTAAATAAATCTCTCCAAAGCTTCAATCCTAATTTTATTAAAAGCAGAATGAGCTTAAATAAAAATCTTTAATACCTAAAAGTGAAAATGGAAATAGGGGGGTGCCTGGGTGGCTCAAGTAGTTAAGGTCTCTGCCTTCGGCTGAGGTCATGATCCCAGGGTCCTGGGGTCGAGCCCCGCATCAGACTCCCTGCTCAGCAGGGAGACTGCTTCCCTTCCTCTCTCTCTGCCTGCCCCTCTGCCTACCTGTGGTCTCTGTCTGTCAAATAAATAAATAGAATCTTTTTAAAAATTTTAAGAAAATTAAGTAGTAATTAAAAATTTGGTGAGAAATTTGTTTCTAGAAATTCATCCACTCCGTCTAGATTTTTGTACTTATTTGCATTAGACAAATTATTTTCCTAAATTATTTCTGAACATTGTTTTACTGTCTATCTTATCTTTTGATATATAGCATTTTTATTATTTTTGAGATATTTTATTATTTTAACTTTGGAGTGGACTGCTAAGTGAGAAAATAATGTCTGTTTCACATGTGTCCCTGTGATAAACCCTACTGGACTACTGTTTTCATGTACTCTTGAATTCAGTTAGTTAATACAGTTATGACTACTGAATCTATGTTCATAATTTCCAGTTCTTTTACTGTTCTTGACTGGTTTGGTCATCAAGATTAACATAGTAGGGGCGCCTGGGTGGCTCAGCGGGTTAAGCCGCTGCCTTCGGCTCGGGTCATGATCGCAGGGTCCTGGGATCGAGCCCCGCATCGGGCTCTCTGCTCAGTGGGGAGCCTGGTTCTTCCTCTCTCTCTGCCTGCCTCTCTGCCTACTTGTGATCTCTCTCTGTCAAATAAATAAATAAAATCTTTAAAAAAAAAAAAAAGATTAACATAGTAAAAACAATAAAACAAATACCACAACCAAGGTTGGGAATAATTTTAGGTATCATCTTTACCCAAAACTTTCGCAAAAAGATCAACTATTAATCCACATGATGTTTTCCACCATTTTTGACTGTGTAGGAAATGTTTGATAAACATTTTAATTTCTGCAGGGGCTTCTGAACCATCTGTATTTATCAATTTTGACATTTATTTTTTGTAAAACTGTATCCCTTCTGTTTAGGTTTTCATAGTTTTGTATGATTTTGTATACTATTCATTTGAGATTTTTTTTTTTTAGATTTTATTTTTTTTATTTGACAGAGAGATCACAAGTAGGCAGAGAGGCAGGCAGAGAGGGAGGAAGGGAAGCAGGTTCCCTGCTGAACAGGGGACCCGATGCGGGGCTTGATCCCAGGACCCTGGAACCATGACCTGAGCCAAAGGCAGAGGCTTTAACCCACTGAGCCACCCAGGCGCCCCTTGAGATTGTTTTAATCTTTGATAATGCAGTAACTCTCTCTCCTGTTTTGTTACATACCTTCAGTGTATCTTTACTCCCTGTTCTTGATCACCACCACATTCAGAAGCCACTTATGCTTTTTTTTTTTAAGATTTTATTTATTTATTCGACAGACAGAGATCACAAGTAGGCAGAGAGGCAGGCAAAGAGGGGTGAGAGGAAGCAGGCTCCCCACTGAGCAGAAAGCCTGATGTGGGGTTGATCCCAGGACCCTGGGATCATGATCTGAGACGAAGGCAGAGACTTTAACCCACTGAGCCAGCCAGGCATCCCGCCACTTATGCTTCTGTCAGACATGTTCATTAATTATGTTTGTTCTCTACATGACTAATTTCTTCCCTTATCTTATTTTTGTTGTTGTTGTTATTTTCTAGTCCTTATTGTTATTTTATATTTATTGAATTCTTTTTCTAACTTCTTCAGTTATAAGTGCTACTTATTCCTTAGGTCTCCCCCACCACCAAAAACTTCCAGGATTCCTTAAAAAGGCGTTTAAATCTCTGTTTTTTCCCCTCTATCTATAGTTTAGCTTTGCCACACAAACTTTAAAATGTAGTTCTTATTAAAAAATTTTTAAAATTAACATATAATGTATTATTTGTTTCAGGGTTAAAATGTCGTTCTTTATTTAACTGAAATTAAACACAAGGAATTTTCTAAGATCCTTTATGGTTTTTCCCTTTAAAGAATTTTCTTTTTTAATTTATTTATTAGATTGAGAGAGAGAGAGAGAGCATGCCAAGCACAGGCAGACAGAGTGGCAGGCAGAGGCAGAGGGAGAAGCAGGCTCCCTGCTGAGCAAGGAGCCTGACGTGGGACTCAATCCCAGGACACTGGGATCATGACCTGAGCCGGAGGCAGCCGCTTAACCAACTGAGCCACCCAGGCGTCCCAAAGAATATTTATGTAGGAAAAAAATTAAAAGTTTTCATATATGAGAGTTTCTTTTGTTAGCCTTTTACTTTTTTAAAAACTTTTTAAAAAGTTGTCGTAAAATACACTTAAAATTTACCCTTTTAAATGTACAGTTCAGATATTAAGTCTTTTCTCAAAGCTGTGCAAAAGTCTTTTACTTCATATTTCTAATTTAATGCTCTTGGTTAGAGAGTAAAATCAACATTATAGCAAAGTTTCATATTTTTGTCTGCTTGGATTAATGTTTCTGGGAGTAGTTAATAAAACAGATCAGTGGAGAACCAACATCTAAAAAGCAAATTTTTAAAAAGAACAAATAAATATTTATGTGGGGAGAAACAGTTTAAGAAGAAATAGAGAAATACTTTCAGAATTGTGCACGAAAATGATTTCTAATCAGGAATCTCATCCTCAGCCAAAGATCAACATAGCATAGGACAAAATAAAAGGCCACTTTTGATATTCCACCTCTCCACTGTCATACAGTTGGCCTCTAGATGTGGAGACAACCATGTGTTGCTCATTCTTGACAGAAAGATCAAGATTTGCTTCAGGGAAGTAAAAGTCTGGTTGCTTCCTGTGACCCAGCTGCCCCTGCCCAGAGGATCTGGTGACATATCAGAGGTATTTAGTCCCAGGATGAATCCCTACCCCCTGGGATTCTTCCTTCTCACCTCATATGAATTATCACGTTCCTCTGGAACCAGGACCAGGGATTTCTGGGGAGAGGTCCGATTAGCTGACATGGTCATGGTAGGTCTCAAACTTTATTCTCTCGGGAGTCTAAAGCTTTGTAGACATCTGTAAACTCAAGCAGAGCTGCTGGAGACAGGCAGGCTGGAGTCTGGAGAAAGATCTAACCCAGGGGCTCCCTAGAGACACCAAAAAAACCTAGAACGACAATGTCCACATGGTCAGATACTAGGCATTTATCTCACAGACCTTTCCTGTGAATACCAAGGTGAAGTTCCCTGAGCTAGACACACTGAGCAGAGGCTCTTAAACTTGAGTGTGGTTTCAAAACACTTGGGAGGACTTCTTAAAATACGGTTAAAAATCCACAACCTCACTCTCAGTTTCTGATTTAATAGGCCTAGGGTAGCAAATGTTTTAGTCTAGCCAGGCTGCTGTAATAAAATACCACAGACAGGTAGCTTATAAACAACAGAAATTTATTGCTCACAGTTCTGGAGGCTGGAAAGTCCAAGATCAAGGAGACAGCATGGTCATATTTTAATCAGGGGCCTCCTCCTGGTTCATAGCCATTATACCTTTTTGCTGTGTCTTCACATGGTAAAAGGGGTTCAGGAGCTACGTGGGATGTTTTATAACAGCACTAATCATTTATAAGTGCCCACCTCTATGACCTAATCAGTTCCCAAAGCCCTCACCAACTAATACAATATTTCTGGAGATTAGGATTTTCAACCTAAAAATTCTGGGAGAACACAAATATTCAGACCATAACAGGGCCCAAGAACCTGTATTTCTAAGTAGTGCCCAGGTGCTGGTCCAGGGACCACACTTTGAGAACCAGTGCTATGGAGAATATAAAGTTTAATGAAACCTGTGATGGGTATTAGTCATGAGAAATGGAGTAATATACTTAAAATTTGAACTGTAGCTCAGCTATCTTTCAGCTCTGAGAATATGAAGACGTTCCTTCCATTTTAGTTTCAAAAATGAGGATAAAAGTACCTATTTCACATCTCCCTGGCACACAAGAAGCACCTGATAAATCTCAACAATTACCATTCTCTATTAGATATTAAAACAATATAAAAATGATGTAATCAAACAGAGAAAACAACAGCTCAGACAATACTGACTTATATATGTTAAAAAATGGCATTCAACTGAGTGTGCACAGGACATTTATTGTGTAAGCAGCACTGACATAACTGACCATCCACCTGGAAAAAAACAAACTATATTCCCATCATACATTATACATTAGGTTGAATTCCAGCAGGACTAAACATTTATGTATTTTATAAACCCCAAAAGATACTTTTAAAAATTTTAGTAGTATTTGTTTGTATGAACATTGTGGTGGGGTGGCAGAGAGCCTTATTGCATATATGAGAAAACCCAGATGTTATAAAAGAAAAAAACAGATATTCCTGGTTAGATGACATTTCTCAGTTATATATTAGAATACACTTTAAAAGCAAAGATGAATAAATATATACACAAAATTTAAATAAGTAACAATAAGTTATTTCTAAATTAAAAAAAAAAACTAGCAATCAATATGGAAAAAAAAATTCCAGAAAAAAAAAATCTGAACACGGGATATGAAAATTCACAGGAAATTAAATTTAAATGGTAATTAACCAAAAAGATGCCAATTTTAATAACAGGAAAGTGCATTAGAGCAATTAGATATTAATTTTTCCTAAGAATAGTAAAAACTTATTTTATGTTTTAAGTAGGCTCCACATCCAGTGTGGAGCCCAACAGGGGTGGGGGGGTTTGAGCTCACCACCCCAAGATCAAGACCTGAGCCAAGATCAAGAGTTGGTCCACCAACCGAATGAGCCCCCAACGTACCCAGTAAAAACTTATTTTAAAAAATCCAATGCTGGAAAGCATTTGGGGAAATGACCCATTTTATAAATTATTGGTGGGAGCTTGAATGTTATGGTATCTTTTGAATTACTTAGTCATATCTATTATTAAAAATAAGCAACTCTTCCTATAGTTTCAAATATACAAAGCAGATACTGACGGAAGGACAAGAGGACAAATCACCACTCTAGTGAGTTCACCTTTCTCTCTAACTAAGCAGACAAAATAAACAGAATATATATGAAACAATACAATAGAGAACACACATTGTTTTGATGTAATAGATGTGTCATTTATGAAAACCGACCAAGAACTAGACGGTAAAGCAATTTTTAAACTCGAGCATTACGGAGAGGCATTATGTGAAATAGACAACGCACTTCTAAATAACTCATGGGTGAAAGAAAAAAAAATAACTAAAATTTTAAAAGCCAGTACTTCGATTTGAATAAAATGCTACACATCGTAACTTATGAAGTTTAGAAAGCAAGCCCATCATAGACCCCACCAAACCCCATAACTGACTCCACCGCTCACTGACCACTGACTCCCATCACTGAGCCCACGAATCCCACATTCATCTCAAAAACCCCCATCACTGACCCAAGAGACTCCCAACACTGCTCGCAACGGCTACGGATGCCACAAACTCTTCACCACTGAGCCCAGAAACCACCATCACTCACTCTACGAAGAACATCCCCATCATCGACCCCACAAAATCCCTAATCACGACAACGAAAATCACCTCAGAGACCTCTCGGAATTAAAATGCAGAGAAACTCCGGACACCAGCGGCCAAAAAGCTTTCGAGGACCACTTCCGCTTCCGGCCTAGCCTTTAGCATCCTCTCTCAGGAACTATTGCTAGTGCTCATGCTCTGAGTTACCTTGGAAGCCGTACATGCCAACAGTTAACATGGCGCCGGTCTCGTAAGAGACACTGTCGGACCGAGAACATGGTCTCGCCCGATGGTGCTTCTGCGCGCGATCCGCCATCTTTGAGGTGTGTCCGTTCCGTACAGCGGAGAAATAGGCCTCCCGCCGGTTTTCAGAAATCGAGGCCAGGATTGCCACATAGAATGCAGGTAGCCCTGCCCGAGGTAGGCTTCTGGAAAGGAGAAGGTATTGGCGATGGGGTCTGGTACTCTGTGTTATATTTAGAAAAGCTAATTTCCCTCTAAGGATATGGAGCTCTGCTGAGAGCCATTATCTACTGGGAGAAACCACCAGGGATGAGGGGAGCCAGGAAGGAAAAATCACTAAGGGAGAAGGACAGACGTCTTATATGTTACTGTTGAATCTTGGGAGGAGTCATCGGCGGATGAGGGGGAGAAGTCAAGACAGTACAGTCTACTCTTTGGAAAAACCGCTCAGGGAGAATATGGAGACGTTAGAATGGGAGCCCCACCCTGGACGAAACCACCCGGCAAGACAGATGTCAGAATGGGCAGTCGGCTGCAGAAAGGGTAGTTTAGCCTTTATGGGAGGAACCACCTGGGGAAATAGGGTACAAGTTGAAGTGGTTCAGACCTCTCCTGAGGGATACCACCAGGGCAAGAAGGCACTTTCTGAAGGGCTGGTGGAGGGAAATGGAGCCTTGAATTCCCATCAATCTCCGTTAGTAGACAACAATTATAAAAATAATAATGGTTTTTAATACGGTCAACGTGTGACAAAAAGTACCGAAGGAAAAATGCTATTTTTGTTTTAATTTACAAATTAAGTTTGTAAATTAAAATCTAGGTAATAATAATGTCCTTGGGATATGAATGAAGCCTAAAGTCCAAGGGGCAAGGTGCTGGGGGGGAGAAGGGGGTTGCGCTGTGGAGACACAATTCCTTTCATCTGGTGAACTCCTAAACATTCTTCAAAACCCCCCCAAATATTGCCTCTGCCAGAAAGTTCTGCCTGACAGTGGTAGGAGGTTCTATGACCTTCTGAAAGTCTATGTCATCCCAGAAGTCGGGAAAGTGTTTTGAGGGAACTAGACCTAGGCCCTGGTGTGGGCCCGCTGGGTATCTTCAGGCCAGTTATGTCCCTCTCTGGGATTCAGCTGAAAAATAGGGCCAGTTAGAGGGCTGGACTATGCTTACACCAGATCTTCCTTCTTTTCCCAAAGCCTGGTTGAAGGAATAAAATCTGTGGAAGTCTATTAGTGAACACACATTTTTACCAGAGGTCTAAGAATTACTGTTAACTTTGTTGGTAATGTGATTTTGTTATAAGACTTACCTTTTAGAGATTTATATAGAAATACTAACGAGCAAAACGATAGCTTAAAAAACATCACTGAGGGGGCGCCTGGGTGGCTCAGTGGCTTAAGCCTCTGCCTTCGGCTCAGGTCATGATCTCAGGGTCCTGGGATCGAGCCCCGCATCGGGCTCTCTGCTCAGCAGGGAGCCTGCTTCCCTTCCTCTCTCTCTGCCTGCCTGTCTGCCTACTTGTGATCTCTGTCTGTCAAATAAATAAATAAAATCTTAAAAAAAAAAAAATCACTGAGGATGGGTAGATGGATAAAACAAAAATAACAGAACGTTGGTAAATGTTGAAAGCAGGTGATAGGTACATTATGTTCGTTATGATGTTTTCTTCAGTATTTGTGTGAAAATCTCACAGTAAAAATTTAACACAAAAGGAATGTAAAAATAATTTACAAGGGAATATTATCAAGAAGAAAGCAGGTGTGTTGATAGTATCAGATTATGCAGATTTCAAAGCAAACAATATTAACAGAGATGTTCCATATTTTAATAAGATGGCGCTACCAACAGCATACAACACTAGTAACATTTATCTAACCATAGCTCTGAAATATATAAAGCAAAAAGTGGTAAAATAGGGAAATTTTGAGGAACTAACAATCATAGTAATAAATTAATGTATCTTTCAGAAACAGGTCAAATAAAAGAAAGGTAGGTATAAGTATATATTGGGATAACATAAGTAATTTGCTTGATATATGTCTACATTTTCTTTTATTTTTAACCAGAAAAAGAACATTTTTTTCAAATATACATAGGTCATAAAAATTCTCCAAAAAGTAGGACGTAAAAGACATTATAAAGCCCTCAAAATGATATCACATATGCCATACTCTCAGACTACATAAAAATGAAAATAGGGGGGCACCTGGGTGGCTCAGTGGGTTAAGCCTCTGCCTTCGGCTCAGGTCATGATCTCAGGGTTTTGGGTTCGAGTCCTATGTCGGGCTCTCTGCTGAGCAGGGAGCCTGCTTCCCCCGCACCCTCTGCTCCTCCCCTATTCCCTCTGCTGCTCCCCCATGCTTGTGCTCTCTCTCCTTCTATCACTCTCTGTCAAATAAATTCTTAAAAAAGAAAAAAAAAAGAAAATAGGAACCAACAACAGACAATAAAATATATAAAATGTTCCAAATGCATGTACATTAAAATACACACATTTGGGGCGCCTGGGTGGCTCAGTGGGTTAAGCCTCTGCCTTTGGCCCAGGTCATGGTCTCAGGGTCCTGGGATCAAGCCCCACATCAGGCTCTCTGCTCAGTGGGGAGCCTGCTTCCTCCTCTCTCTCTGCCTGCCTCTCTGCCTACTTGTGATCTCTCTCTCTGTGTCAAATAAATGAATAAAATCTTTAAAAAAAATTTTTTTTAAATGAAAATAAAAAATAAACTACACACATCTGAATAATCCTTGGGTTAAGGACAACATAACACTGGCTATTGCAAACTATTTAAATGAAGAGAAAAATGATAGATAGTACTTCCATATGAAAACTCCAAGAGATGGGCCACAGTGTGATACCCAGAAGAAAATCTCACCTAAAATTAGGATATTAGGAAGAGTGAAAACAAATTACTTAAGCTTTAATTTAATCACCTTCTACCAAAGTCCTAATAAATACTCCCAATAAAACTGGAAAAGAGGAATTGATATAAACAAATGTTAATAAAATAAGTAGGAACAAAATCCTAGTAGAGATAATTAATAAATACATGAGCTGTTTCTCTGTAAACGAGTGCAGTCATTTTTTAAAAGACTTTATTTTAGGGGCACCTGGGTGGCTCAGTCATTAAGCATCTGCCTTTGGCTCAGGTCATGAACCCAGGGTCCTGGGATTGAGCCCAGGACCTCCTGCTAGGCAGGAGGCCTACTTCTCCCTCTTCCACTCCCCCTGCTTGTGTTCCCTCTCTCACTGTATCTCTCTCTGTCAAGTAAATAATCCTTCTCCCACTCCCCCTGCTTGTGTTCCCTCTTCCCACTGCTTGTGTTCCCTCTCTCACTGTATCTCTCTCTGTCAAATAGGGGACGGAGAGAGATAGAGTGAGAGAGGGAACACAAGCAGGGGGAGTGAGAGAGGGAAAAGCAGGCTACCCACCAAGCAGGGTTTGATCCCAGGACCCTGGGGTCATGACCTGAGCCGAAGGCAGACACTTAATGACTGAGCTACCCAGGCGCCCCAAAAGTGTAGTCACTTTTTAAGAAGATTAAAAAAAAAATAGAGAAAATACACATAAACAACATTACAAAGAATATGGGACAAAATAAAATTTTAAACTCAAGAGATTTCTATGGTTATTTTGAGTAATGTGTTTGAAAGCCTTTCTAAGAAGACCTAAAGGAAGAAATTGCCACACGAAGGAAAGCTGGATAGGCCAAAAACCACAAAAGAAATGGAATTGGCACCACATACAAAAACCAACCCTAGAAAGATTAATGATTCATATGTCAAAACATAACTTTAATAAAACTGTTAGTAAAAAATATATCAGCAAATATATTTTAGACTTCATGGTAAAAGATTTCTTAAACAGAACACAAAAGAAATATAAAAGAGTGATACATTTTACTATATTAAAATTAGCACTTTTGTTCATCAAATGACAGTAAAAAAAATGAAAAGATAAGTTATAAACAGGAACAGGTAAACAAAACATGAGCCTGCAGGAACAACTCTAAATCATTAGGTAAAGCATTAACAGGGGCACCTGGGTGGCTCAGTGGGTTAAGGCCTCTGCCTTCGGCTCAGGTCATGATCCCAGGGTCCTGGGATCGAGCCCCGAATCGGGCTCTCTGCTCAGCTGGGAGCCTGCTTCCCTCTCTCTCTGCCTGCCTCTCTGCCTACTTGTGATCTCTGTCTGTCAAATAAATAAATAAAAGCTTAAAAATAAATAAAGCATAACAAAGCCCATACATATATGACAAGAGATACAAAGAGGCATTTCATAGAAGAGGAAACTCATGGAGCCAATAACATGAATATTATAAAATATGAATATTATATGAATAAAATGAATGTTTAGAGAGAGAGGGTCCAGAAAGAAGGAACTGCAGATGCAAAGACTTTTAGGGATATCAGAGAATCCAATGGAGTGTGGGAGTAGAGTGAGCCAAGATAAAAATGATAAGGAGATGAGATCAAAGAGGTGATCAGGGGGCCAGGTTGCAGACCTTGGAGACCATTCTAAAGACATCAGCTCTTACTGTGTGAGTGAGAGTCACGGAAGGATTTTAAGAAGAGGAGTGACATCATCTGATTTATTTTTTAACAGGACCCCCTTTGCTGCTTTTTGAGAACTGGTGGGAAGAAGACAAAGGAAAAAGCATGAAGATCATTTGGGAAGATTCTGCAATAGCCCACATTGCCTACGGCTGCCTCTATCTCCATTTTGCACAGGTACCACAGTTTGTACTCCTAACAGAGTTATGGTACATAGCAATCAGGACCATGGCCTCTAGTGCATCTCTTTGACACTCATCAGAATCAATTCTATGTATGTCTTTATTCTCCACATCACTCTTCTCTGAGTCAAGGGTACCTTACTTTGAGGGGAGTTTCTAGTT